CAGCTGACATTGAGCTTCTCCAGGGATTCTTTCCACAAATGTAAACAATTTGATTCCTATGTATACCACATATGCACATATATTGGCTCTACAGTCAACACTCTTGGTACCAGCAGCCAGGAAATCAAGAGACAAATCGCACTGGGAAAGTCAGCTGTCAGGGACCTCTCCAGAGTACTGAGGAGCAATGATGTCAGTCTGGAGACTAAGGAGCGTCTGATCCAGGCCATAGTCTTCGCAGGTGCGTGGTATGCATTGGAGAGCTGGACAGTGCCTAGGGATGATAGAAAGAGAACTGATGCCTTTGAGCTGTGGTGCTGGAGAAGAGTGTTGAATATACCATGGACTGCTGGGAGAACAAACAGGTCTGTCCTAGCGAGAGAGTCTGGGCTGCTCCTTGGAGTCAAGGATTCTGAAGCTTCATCTGACATACTTTGGGCATGTTGCAAGGAGGGACCAGTCCTTGGAGAGGGACATCATATTTGGAAGAGTAGAGGGACAGTGCAGGAGAGGAAGACTCTCGATGAGATGGATCGATTCAATGACTCGGGTTATGGGAGTAGGTGTGTCAGAGACAGTGAGTTTGGCACAGGATAGAGCAGGGTTTAGGGCTGTTGTACATAGGATCGCTATGAGTCTCAAGTAAGTCAACAGCACATAACAACAACAACATATAAAAACTGCTCTATGTGTCATCTCTCTCTCGCTCTCTCTCTCAGGTCTGGTGGGCTAGTGGTGTGGAGTTGCTTGTACACTCATAGCCTCTAATTCTAGGAGACTGTCATCACCTCACACTGAAACATTGTACCTGTTAGCAGTCACTCCCTTTCCCTTCTCCCGGCGACCCCTCACAATCACTAATCTATTTTATTTCTATTTAGATTTTCCTATTCTGGACATCCCACTTGAATGGAATCACGCAACACAGGATCAATTTTTTAAATTTTTTTTAATTATTTCTTGTGCATGTACCATCAAATCAGATCTGACAGGTACAGGAGGAAATTGTCCCTCCTTCTCCGGCAGAGCATCTGGTGGATTTGAACCGTGTACCTCTGGGATTGCAGCACAGCTTCTTGCCACTAGGCCACCAGAGCTCCCCAACACATGATCATTTTTGTCTGCATTTCTTTTTTCACCTACTACAATATTTTCATGTTTCATCAATGTTGTAAATGTATAGGTACTTCATTCATTTTTAAAAATTTATTTATTCTTTTTATGTGTGTACCATCAAATTGGATCTGACTGGTACAGGAGGCAACTGTTCCTCCTTCAGCAGAGCATCTGGTGGATTTGAACCGCACACCTCTGGGATTGCAGTGCAGTTTCCTGCCACTAGGCCACCAGAACTCGCCACTTCATTCATTTTTATGGTTAGATAATATTCTACTGTCCGGCTTCATCAGATTTTGATTACTCCTCTTTGCCCAAGTTAGAGCACATCTGTTACCCAGTTAGTGATGTCCCCTCCTTCCCCGTACCACCCCTGACAATCAGCAAACATGGTTTATTTCTGTGGGTAAACCTTTCAAGTGGGCTCAGTACAACATTTGGGTTTTTCGGATTGATTTAATTAATTCCTCACAATATCCTGCATGTCGGGATATGTTTCAAGGATACATTGCTATTCTTCAGTGTAGCTTAGAATTCCATGCTGTGTATGTACCATAGTTTGTGCACCCATTCATCTGCTGGTGGGCACTTGGGTTGTTTCCACACATTTCTTATTGTGAATAATGCTTCAAAACATGGATGTGTGCATATCTATTTACGTCATGATTCTCCCTTCCCTAAGATACAGACCTTGTAGTAAGATAACGGAATCATATGTGATTGTTAGTCTAACTTTTTAAAAGAAGTGCTGTGTTGTTTTCTACTGTGGTCACACATATTTTGATTTTTAGGGCTTTAATTTTTGCTACTTTATGATGAGTCTTCATTTGTATTTTTAATATTGTCATTAATTGAACCAAGTTATTTAAGGGACTGCCCCCTGCCAGTCTCAAATTTAACTTACTGTAAATAACTTTTTTTCTAAATTTTATTTTATTATTTTGTATGTGTGTGTGCTGTCAAATCCGATCTGACTGGTACAGGAGAAGATTGTCCTTTCTTCTCCATCAGAGCATCTGGTAGATTCGAACCATGTTCCTCTGGGATTGCAGTGTAGCTTCTTGCCACTAGGCCACCAGAGCTCCCTCAAGTTTATTTTTAAACATTTGGCTTAATACTGTCTTGCTTTTATGTCCTAGAAAATTCTTTTAGAAAAGAAAGCTTGAAAATTCATCTTCTTTCAAAAGGCCTTGTGTAGTTTTCTAAGTTCTTTTCAGATGTCATAGTAAAAAAGACTCAACTGTGTGACCTAATTCCTTTTCCTCACAGGTGTTTGTCTGGGGATGAAGCTCTGTCCATTTGTGGTGAAGCTGTCTTCATCTTTAGCCACTTTGAATTCTAACTTTGCAAGAGTCTAAAATTTTCCTTTCCCAGGTTCTGTAACGGGCCCTCTGGGTGGTTAAACACTCGGCTACTAACGGGAAGTGTGGAAGCTCACTTCCACCCAGAGAATCCTTGGAAGAAAGCCCTGGCAGGCTACATCTGAAAAGACCCAGCCGTTGAAGTGTTATGCCCAGTTCTCCTCCGAAATTCATCAGCCTGCCACGAGTCAGAACTGACTTCATTCAGCTAGGGGCGGTGGTGCAATCAGCCTGACCATCATCAACATAATCTAATACCACGAAGACATTCCTGTTGCTGCATGTGGTGGATTCTGACTCATCGGGACCCCACGTGATAGAGTGATTGTCCCATAGGGTGCCCCAGGCTGTAAGCTTTATGGGAGCAGTCCATTAACTTTGTGGAGCTTGTAGGTGGGTTCGAGTAACTGCCAGCTTTTTGGCAGGAGCTGAGCCCTACCTATCACAATCCCAGAGCTCTAGTACAGAGCCAGATGCTGTTATTAGCATTTTTGCTTATTGAGATTGGTGTGGGGAGGGCAAGGCTTCGATCTGTTGTTGTAGAATCTCTAACATTGGACAATCTCCTCCGGATCCATTTACTCCTTCTGAAAATCCACTAGAGAGGGTGGTCAACTTGACGACTTGATGACTTGATGGCACACAACAACAACTAGGGTCATAGCTGAGTCTGTGGCACTTAACAACAACCTTCATAGGGTAAAAAGACCCAGAGAGGTTAATTTGCCTGTGTTCACAGTGCTTGTCAGTGGTGAAGCTGAGATTCAAGCCCAGGTTTCCAGCCAGAGCCCCTCCTCTTCACCAGGCCTCGATTGTCTCCTGGTAGACTCCTGGACAGCACCCTCCCACCCTCGCTTCCTCCCTCTGAACTGCCCTCAGGCTCATGCAAGGGCTTGATAGGCTCCTACTTCCATCTGAAGCTTGAGCTGCAACAATCATAGTTATTGCTCACCACAAGCATGTAAATTCTCAGAATCGCTCACTTTTATACACAAGCTCAGTTGAACTTGAAGAATTTGCCAGCAGAGGTCCCATTGAAAGTATTTCCGTGGCTCTGACCTCTTAAATCAATCGAGTGTTGTTAGGTGCTGTTGGATTGACTACTGTGAAGAGCAGATCTGCACCCTGCCCTGCCCTGTGCCTTCATGTTCATCGTCCCTGTCCATGAACACCTTATTCCAGACTGTTGTTGTATGTATGATGCCTAATCATACATTCCTTTCAGATGGTTTCCCCTCTTCTGTTCCAATGCAGGGTTCATTTCCTGTCCACTCATTTCCTATTCTCTTCCAACACCCCCCATGTCAGTCCTGTTTTATAATAGCAGTGCTATGCAGTATTTGTCCTTTTGTGACTGAGGTATTTCATTCAGCATGTCTTCAGGCTCACCCATGTTGTGTAATGTTTTCAAAGTTCATTGTTTTTCAAATGTTGTATAATTTCTACTGTATGAATGTATCATAGATTTTCTTTTTTTTTAAATTTTTTTTTTAAATTTATTTATTCTTTTTATGTGTGTACCGTCAAATTGGATCTGACTGGTACAGGAGGCGATTGTTCCTCCTTCTTCAGCAGAGCATCTGGTGGCTTTGAACCGCGCACCTCTGGGATTGCAGTACAGTTTCCTACCACTAGGCCACCAGAGCTCGCCTGTATCATAGATTTTCTATCCATGTTTTTTTTTTTGATGGGCACTTCCCCTTTTTTAAAACCAAGCATTCTTGTAGAGAGTGAAACCAAATTTCTCCTCGGAAGCTAGGATTTTGACCCTCGGTCTCACATACTTATGGCACATAGCTGGGAGACACTGGTTCTTAAAGAAGAACATCATGCCTGGAGGGGTGGAGGGACAGCACAGGAAAGGAAGTATCCCAGGATGAGATGGACTGTTACAGTAACCGGGGCAATGGGGATAGTGTGTTGGAATTAATGAGACTGGCTCAGGACAGGAAAGCGTTCAGAGCTGCTGTACACAGGGTCACTATGGGTCGCAGGCAACTTGACGGCACCTAACAGCAACAACAACTGTTTCCTTTTTCTGTTCAGACAATTGCTTCTTGGTGCTGAGACATAGCTGGCCATTGACTGGGCTTCTGAGGCTGTAAATGGCACGGGAGGAGATGGCCTATCTTTCTCCCCTGAAAGCAGCCTTTGAGTGAACTGAGCGACTCTCTGTGAGCTGCAGTTAGTGTCTAGGAAACCTTTAGGGGCTGGTCTACTCAGTCACATGGGGTCATGATGTGTCAGAAATGCACTGTGGTCAAGTTGATTCTCACCCAGAAGCTCCCTCCACTGGGTGTCTGAGCCTCTAAATTCTTATGAGAGGAGACTGCCCGTCTTTCTGCTGGTGGATTTGAACTGCTGACCTTTTGGTTGGTAGCCTGGCTCGTTATGCACCATGCCATCAGGGCTCTTTTATATACTCTTCTGGCAGGGAGGAAATAGGAGGCCCGTTTCCGTTAAGAGACAAGTAGGCATTGCCTTGACTGTTTGTCCTGATGTCTCTCACTCAGAATCGACTCCATGTCTAGGAACAAGAAGAGACCAGCAAAGCTGGCGGCACAAAGACATGCTGAAATAGATTATGTTGGCTGTGGGGTGGAGACAAGAGTGAACTGTAGAAAGCTTTTGCTGCTCAGTGACAATATTTCTGTTTCTTTTAATCAGTGGTTAGGCTCTGCAGTGGTTTAAATGGGCTTTAACCATGGAATTCTGAAGGATAAAAGTTCTGTCTTGGGGCATGTGTTACTTCCTTGACTGCTGAGTCCTCCGGCAGTAGGATTCGGGAGCTGTTCCCACTGTGGGAGGCTGTGGGTCTCTCTTCAAGCTGGGAGGTGATGGGACCTGGGTTTGTGTTTTCCAGGCTGCTTCACCCTGCGGGGTCCCAGTGCAGTGCGTGGCTACAAGGGAGGCTCGTTGACCGTGCAGTGTCATTACAACTCCGGATGGGAGACCTACGTCAAGTGGTGGTGTCGAGGCACTGTCTGGAGTAGCTGCAAATTCGTTGTTAGAACCACGGGATCAGAGCAGGAGGTGAAGAAGGACCATGTGTCCATCAAGGACAATCAGAAAAACCGAATATTCACCGTGACCATGGAGCAGCTCAGGGAAGATGATGCAGATGTTTACTGGTGTGGGATTGAGAAAAGTGGACCTGACCTTGGAGTCCAGGTTAGAGTGTCAGTTGACCCAGGTAAGCATGTGTATGTGTGGTTCTGTCTGAGTGCCTATTCTGACCTTGTCTCTGAGGGCTCTCTTGAGTGACTGACCTGAGGGCAGACTGGATGGGACCAATCCCTGCAGTGTCATCAAATCCCCTTGCCTGCTTGGGGCTGGGAGGGCCTCCCTCTCAGCTCCTCCAGGGCAGATCAAAGCCTTTCTGTGCACAGTGGCTTTCTGGTACAGCTTGGTCTCTTGCCCACAGAGAATAAAGTGATGGTCCCCAGTTCTGTCCATGGAACCAAGAGACCCTTGTCCCTGCCAGGTTTTTCTGGGACCTCTGGTGCCCAGATGTGGAGTTCTAGGCTGGGGAATCATTTCCTCTTCTCATCTCTCATCCCATGTCCAACTTTAGGGGAGGGATAGGCCCAGCATAGGTGGTTGTTAAGATCTATTCTGAGCTCTGGAGAGGCCCCCGCAGTCAAACTGCTACACTTCTGGCATCTGAAACCCCACAGCCGTTTATGCATTTAGATCTAATAGTGGCTTCCTAAGTCCTTCTAGAAGGCAAGCACTCCTGGGAAGGTCAACTTCGGGGTCCTAGCGCCTTGGCAGGAGCTTATCTGTTGGACTCTGCTGCTGCTGTCCCTTGGATGGACAGCAGGGCTCTTGCGACAACTGGGACACCAGTTAACAGAGCCACGCCCACGCCTGGCCCTCTGAAGCATGCCACGGTTTACCACTGCATCTCATACATCATCTCGCTTACCGCTTGGGAGAAGTGGACAGCCACACCCTCATAGTTTAGCGTTTTCCCCCAAGTAAAGCTTCTCTTAATAGTATGCTTTGGCTAGAAGTCACAGATAATGGGATGCAGGTTAACAGCACTGTTGAAGTTCCCATTCTGCCCTATCCTTGCTGGTTAAATATGATGGAGACGTGGGTTAGGTGCAATCATAAGCAACGCGAGTGAGTAAAGCTCAGGTATGCTCCAGTCACCTTGTCCAGAAATTTCCTCAGCTCCCCCCGCCATCGCAGGGGCCCCTCTGACCAGTCACCTGCTTCCGAGGCTCTTGAGGTTCTTAGAAGCTGGGGAGAGATGCAGGCTGTCCCGCCTCCTTCCAGCGCCCCTTCCAGCTCCTCTGGCCAGAGTGCTCCTCTTCCATGCGGGGTGGGCGGGTGAGCAGGCAGGGTGGTGTATAATCCAGTCTGTATGCCAAGCACCAGTTACAGTGCAGACCACCACTACCTCCACCACTTCCATACCCACCACCATCACCACCACCACTACAATTACAGCACCCAAGGAGAGCTCCATCGCGACCAGCGACAGCTCCGAGAGTAGGTAAGCCAGCTTCTATACTGTTCCTGGGACCCAGCTGTTCTATGGGGGAAGCCTGCTCTGTTCCCAGTCCCAGCTGGAGCTTGGGCTTCAACCTCAGGCTCCTCGGTGTGGATGACGGGGCCGGGGGGCCTTTCCCACTTGCTCTTGGGTCCCAGCATGTCCTTCTACCCCTGTACCCCACTCCCCCAACCCCCGTCCTGAAGCTTGTGAGTTGATTCATTCCGCGTTTGTTCACCTGCCTTTACTGAGTTAAGCGTCTATGTGGTGGACACTGTGCCGTGCTCTCCGTCCCTTGATGCTGGTCATCCCCCTCTGTGTGTGATTATGTGCTGGCCCTGTGCCTTTTATAGCCCAGAAGTGATTAGATTTAGAATCTAAACTATTGATTTAGTTATATCTAATTAGCATAACAATGAAAACCCTATCTTCAAGTTTACTGGTGTGGAGACCAGGATTTCAATACATATTTTGTTGTTGTATATTGTGGAGTCAAAACTAACTCATAGCTCCCCCTCAAGTGGGTTTTCAGAGGCTTTTACATCGAACGGAAGGAGAAGGCCCATCTTTCCCCTGCACAGCAGCTGCTGGATTTGAACCCCGTGCCTTAGGGTTGACAGTGTCTCTTCTTACTATTAGGCCACCAGCAACTGCAATATTTTAGAGAGCACAATTCAGTTCCTAACAGAGTCAACACTCGTGGCACCAGCAGCCAGGAAATTAAAAGACATGTTGCCATGGGAAAGTCTGCTGTTAGGGACCTTTCCAAAGTACTGAAGCGCAATGGTGTCACTCTGGACACTAAGGTGCACCTGATACAGGCCATGGTCTTTGCAATCACTTGCTATGTGTCAGAGTGCTGGACAATGACTAGGGAGGATAGAAGGAGAATTGATGCCTTTGAGATGTGGTGTTGGATAAGATTATTGAATATACCATAGACTGCTAAGAAAACAGGTTCATCCTATAGAGGGTTAAACCAGGCTGCTCCTTGGAGGCAAGGATTCTGAGGCTTCATCTGACATACTTTGGACATGTTATAAGGAGGGACCAGTCCTTGGAGAAAGACATCATGCTTGGGAGGGTGGAGGGACAGCACAGGAAAGGAAGACCCTTGATGAGGTGGATTGAGTCAGTAACTGGTAATGGGGGTAGGTGTGTCAGAGACAGTGAGATTGACACAGGATAGAGCAGAGTTTAGGGCTGTTGTACATAGTGTCGCTATGAGTCGCAGGAGACTCAACAGCACATAAAAACAACAACAAGAACGACAGAGGGCAAATGCAGAAGCCGAGAGAGCTGTTAGGAGTGTGTTAGACTTGGAGGCACGTCTACACTGTCTTGTGGAACTCGCTTCTCTTTGTTGGCTGGGAAGGCGGCCCCCAGTGTCTCCCTCAGGGGAGAGATGAGCCTGGGGTGCAGGTCTCTTCCTGTTGCTTCCAGACAGGAGACCGTGGTGCTCAAGCTCATCCTCCCCATTATCTTTGCCGTGTTTCTGCTTCTCTTGGTGGCGGCCTCGCTCCTGGCTTGGAGGATGATGAAGCAGCAGAAGAAAGGTGAGAAGACGTGGTTAGGGTTGTGCGGGGCCGGGGTGGTGCGGGAGGTCAGTGTTTGTGTCTGTGCGTGCGTGGATGTGGACGGGCCAGGGTGTTTATCTGGGCTCATTATCCAGGGCCGTCTGGCCCAGGCGGTTACTCATGTGGTGTAGGGGCGGGGGCACTGTTGCAAGCGTCTCTGGCACCTGGCTGACCCAGGGCCTGAGGGGGAGGCCTGGGGCACGTTGGTCAGTACCAGGGATTTTGGTCCTAGACCCCTGCTCGTGCCCCTGCCTTCTCATCTGTCTGACCACCTATCTTCTGTGCTTTCTGCATCGACCTTGGGGTGATAGATCTGTGTGGTTGTCAAGGAGATACTAAACTGGCAGGGGGGCAGGAAGCACCCCCCGACTCCAGCACCTGCGCATGCACACATGAGCATGGAGCGTGTACTGTGAGCGCGCAGGCACTCGTGTATGGACACCCACAAAGTTGTTAATACACAGATGCATGTAAACACACATGTATGCACATACATGTGCACACGAGTTAATGCACACACACGGAAAAGACTGGGCTGTCTGTCTAAGGCTCCTGCCATCTCTGACACCAAGAGCCGAGACTGGGAATGGACGTGTCTACACCGGGTGCGCACACAGGCACACACACATACATGTGTGCCCACGAGCTCATGCCTCTGAGTTTGATCTGAAAGGCTGGCTGTGCCCCTCCTGTTTCCTCCTGGGTCCAGCCCTCTCTCAGGAGGACTCGGGCTGCATGAACTCGCTCTCTGGGGAAGAGCCCATGGCTCCACGAGCTTGCACTCTGAAGTCGTGGTATTTGGGCCTCAACACAAGCCTGTTCCTGTCTGGTGATACTTCCCCATTCTCTGTAACTGTGGGCTGAGTTACAGAACGAGGCACAGAGGGGTTCGTGAGAATGGGGCAGGACTGTGGAGGTGTCCTCTGTGCACCAGGCCGCTCTGGGCTGGACTGGGGTGGGGGACACCTAATAGCAAGTACCAGTAGGATCTAAGCTGTCAGGGAGCCTTCTCCAGCTCTCCGCTTCCTCTTGGGGAATCTTTTCATTTGCGGTGACTTACCGTTCCTCTTCACTTCCCCCCACTCCCGATAGCATGGCCTGAGTTCTAAGTACATCCTGTTCTCCAGTTCTAGAAACGGACAACCGGAGAATACTCTTGGCTTATTGTTTCTAGAGCCAGGCATGTGGGATGTGGCAGGAGAGGGCCAAAGGGCAGGAGAAATACAGGAAGACAGGAGCCAGGAGCTACCTCAAGATCCTTCCTATTGCTCTGCCCCAGAACGCACACCTGGGGGGACAGCTCAGAGTGGCCTTGGTCAGCGATGGCTGTACTGTCTGAGCGCCCGTGGTCACCCTCAGCCAAGTCCCCGGATGCAAGGACAGGCAGCCCACTCAGCCCCCGGCCACTCACACAGCCCATGAGAACCAACTAGAATTTGGTGAGTGGAAATGACAAATCAAGGGCCACCTGAACATGCGGGCGAGGAAGGCAGACTTCTTGAGGATGCGCTCAATAAAGAAAAGGTGAGTGGCAGGCAGAGCTCCCAGCAGGCCGAGCCTGGGGCCGTGTGGTGGACGCTCAACCCCAGAGGAGCGGACAGACAGCAGGACCCAGGGAGCGGTGGAGCTCGTGGTTCTGTGATGTGAGGAGTAGATAGGGCGAAGGCATTAGGGTGACCAGAAAGGGTATGACCAGTGTCACACAGTGAGTGCATCGTCTGAGGAGTCAGAGACCTGAGCCCCCTTTCCTTCTACATTTCTCCTCCTTACGCCCAGGATCCCTGAGGTCCTCGGTGACAGGCTTTCTAATTCTGGGTGTGCTTGTCTTTCAGCTGCTGGCCCAGCCTCAGAGCAGGTAAGAGTCCTGAAACCTGGCCAGGCCAGAGCGACTGACTAGCTGGCTCTTGCCCCTCAGTCGGCGTCCGTCCCAGCCCCTTGTTCCTGCAGGACGGCTGGGGAGTGTGGGGACCTAGGGACAGCCAGAGGAAGAGAGAGGCGGGAGGGGAGGGCACGGGGAGACTGAGAAGTGAGGGTGTAGGAGGACCTGGGAGAGAGGGGCCAGGGAAGCAGCGAGGCCCGCGGTCCTCAGAAGAAGACGGCCTGTGTCCACCAGTGGTCTTGTGGTCCCTCCATCTCGTTTCCTTTCCTGGTGTTGCAGCCTCTGGAGGGTGACATTTGCTACGCAAACCTGACCTTACATGACACCGGCACAGGCCCTACCCCAGTGTCCTCCAGGAAAAAGGCATCTGCCAGGTCTGTCTCCTGTGCCCAGGCTGACCAGGCGGACGTGGAGTATGTGACCATGGTACGTACGCACTGCTGTGCACGTCTGTACATTCTCCTTTGACCAGCCAGACACGGCCACAGCCACTGAAGCACTGGCCTGAGGACTTCCTCGGCCTCTTGGGAATGTCTGTTACCAGGTCTCAGCCCTGACCATCAAGCACGGTCCTCCTGCTGGGTGGAAGGGTCAGGGTATGCAGACTAGCCCTCTTGATAGCAGAGTTGAGGGGAGAATTTTCTGCTGTGGCCTGAGCTTAGAGTACTGGCAGGGTGGAGCTGGGGACGCTGGAGGCTCAAGAGCTGGTTGTGACAGTCTTAGAGGGCCTCTCTGCAGCGCGGGAGGACACCCCCCCCCCGGCCACTCCCGAGGTGTCCTCCTACTTCCGCTGCCTCCTGACCCCGCGGCTGTCTCTGTTACAGGGTCCTGTTCTGAAGGAGGAAGTTTCCTATGCCTCTCTGTCTTTGGGCACCTCGGAGCAGGAGCTGACCTACTGCAACGTGGGCCGCCTCATGGCTCGCGTCCCCCGGGGGAGCGAGGGAGAAGCCACAGAGTACAGCACCATCAGGAAGCCTTAGCTGGAACTCCAGACCTCAGACCTCACCAGAACCTCATCAGGGCTTGCACGTTCCCGCTCTGCCTGCCTTCTGCTCCTGGTCCCTTCACCAGGGCCAGCCGGTGACTGAGACCTTTGCTGGATCCAGTCAGCATCCTCCCAGCCTGTGCTCCAGCTCCAGCTCAGGGCCAGACTCAGGGGTTCCTGGAAGCCAGACAAGACTCTCTTCATGCCCTCTCCTCTCCCATATGGCTTGGGAAGGGGCTGGAGGGATGCTCTTGGCTCACTGGGAATAATAGTGAGTTTTATAATAATAGTAGGCAATCTTTATTTATTGTTTACCATATGTAGTGGACTGAATAATGCCCGTCAAACTATTCACATTCTCATCTCAAGAGCTTGTGAATGTTAACTTGATATGACATAAGAGACTGGATCATTTAAAGATCATGAGATGAATTAGAGTAGATGCTGAATGTAATCCCAAAGACGTTAGAAGAGGTGGGCAGGAACGTCAAAAGCAAGAGAACAATGTGAAGATGGAAGCAGATGGGACGGATGTGGCCAGGAGCCAAGAAATTAGTAACAGAGTCAAGGGATGGACTCTTGCCTGGAGCCTCCAGAAAAGACCGCACTGTTGACATCTTAATATGAGCCAGGTGAAACTAATTTTGGACCCGTGGCTCCCAGAAATGCAAGAGATTAAACACATGTTGTTTTAAGCCACCAAGTTTGGAGTCTGTGGTGTTAACAGCAGACATGAGGCAGAAATTCACCCACTGTGTCAGGTCCACGTCTATAATTCACTTTTGTAACACATGTAGTGCTCACGATGACCACAGGAGGGCGCTGCTATTATCAGCTGCATTTGACAGATAAGGAGCTTGGAACCACGCTTTTCTCTTGAGCAGGTTGAACCTGGCGTTCTGGATCCAGAACGTGGAGCCTGGGCTCTCACCCTGTGCTGTGTGTTTGAGGGCAGCGTGGGGAAGGGGGGGGTGTGTGTGCATCACTGGTAGGTACTAGGTTCCATCAGGCACTTCTGGATGTTGGAGTGCTGGGCTGTCTTTGTTCTAGGGTCCTGGAGTTCTCCCTACAGAATAGAGTCCCATCCCAATTCTTCATCTCGTGGTTACTACTCTAGCCCAGGTAACCCATAGCCATTCTTCTCCTGGATTCTGCTATCACCAGAGTGAGCTCCGGAAGGCAGTGATGTGACCTCACCCTGCCTGGCCTTCTGGTGTCTTCCCTCCACAGCCCAGGAGCCCTGAACCCTGAGACTGTGGTCTCCTCCCACCCCTGATGCCCATTTTCTAACCCCCCTTCTCACTCTGCTCCAGCAGACAAGACTTTCTACCATTCTAACAAGATGATGCTCCCCCACTTCTCAGGGCTTGAATACTCACTGCTGCTTGTTTCTGGAATATTCTTCCTGAAGAGCTAAGAATACTCAGCCTCTTTTCCATCATTCCACCATAGCTCAACTGTCCCCTCTCTGGGAGATCCCTGATTCCCTGCTGGTAGCGGCCCCCAGTGCCCATCTAGTAGCGTCTGCTGGTCACCTTGTTCCGTGTTACTCCCTTCATTGCACTGTGACTTTGTGAAAAGGCTTGCTTACTGGTGTGTGGGTTTATTGTGTATCACTCTCTGCTACTGGACGTTGCCTGAAGGTGAGAAAACCTCCTCGGTTTTGGCTCTGTTCCTAGGACCCAGCTTAGGGCCCGGTGGGTGGTGGATTCTGAAATGTTTGTTGAGCAAATGAACGGTTAATGCAGTAGTTCAGACATGGGGACTCTCAGGAGCAGAGAGGACTGACTGTGCCCATCACTCTAGGAAGGGAGTCCTGGTCAGCTGAGACAAGGCATATCCGGATTGACTCCTAGGAGAGACTTGCCCTGGCTTTGACAGTCTAGGAGAAGGGAGAAGCCAGGTTTTCCTGTGATTGAGGGTAAAAACCCATCACCTAGTTCTCACTTTTGTTCGGACGTGTCAGGAAAAGGCACTAGGGCATGGAACAAATGACCAGCTCTGCTTGAGGACCACAGGGCTTAAGCCAACCTCACAGACATGTGGCCTGAGAAGTACAGGGGCCATTGTTGTTGTTGTTAAGTGCTGTGAGTCGTAGGTGACTCATAGCAATGTTATGAACGAAAGACGTGGACGCTTGTATAACTTTCATCCTTTCTCCAAGTTCATAGGGTTCCCGGAGGCAAGCTGTGTCGGAAGTGGATGCCGCTCCTGCTTCACAGGGACCATGGACATGCTTCATGGATCTTAATCAACGCTTTAGTCATGTCGTTGGGGGGGG